TAGCGAATCACCAGTAGCAGCACATCTAAAGAGAGCAAGACAGTGATTGATGGTTAGTCTTTTTTCATGTCAGTCAAATAGTCCTTTTCTGTCAGAAACACTGTGATATCTCGGCAGCAGTCAGAGACAGGGCTGTCAAGTCTCCATGCCTAACTGCCTCTATTAGTGCTCTAATTTGAGTCGATAATGTCGGTTTTAATCACCCCGCTCATTCCAAATGCTTTTCTTTTGCTCTGCATTGCTAGATTGCTAGATAGCATGCTCTCCATTGCATTTATTTCTGTGAATAAATGAGAGTGTTCTGGCTAGCGAGCTGTCTGTCCAGAGAATAAAGAAACTTTTGAAAACTGCACCAGTCTAAGTTGAGTTCAACACATCCTCAGGTATAAAGCAGTTTTTGAGGGGCTTAAAAAACTTGGATGATCACCCCCATGCTCACTGACAACAGCTGACCAAAAGACTGTAGTAGTTTCATTAATAAAAAATAATAATATTCATAAAATGCTAAAAAAAAATAAATGAATAGATAATCAAAACATTATCTGTAACCATAACAATGAATAATGATAAGGTTAAAAACAATTCCATTTAATCATTAAAGTAAAACATATTTCTTGGGCTTTCCATAATTAAATCCCTATATCAAGTCAGGAAATTACTCCTTTGATTAAACTTACATTAGTGTGTAACAGCTGTGCACTCAAATTTTATGTGCAGAAAGTTTAAAGGGGAACTCCACCGAATTTGCAAAATTACTTAATTATTCAACTGTTTAGATGTAAACAAAATCATTCAGAATGGTTTGGTGTGAAATGAAATTGTTCACTGTAGTATTAGGAACCAGACGTCCGTATGTCACTTTATCTGCTATCCAAAATGACCAGTGAACTTACATGTGTCTTATAAGGTTTTACATGTCATGCTGATAATGGTGAAATAATGCGTCGCATGGTGTCAGCAAAACTCATAGTTTATGTGAGTAATGGTATTCATCAGAGGAGCTGTGACAGATTACAGTTGCACCTCGCTGTCCTACCCCATAAACTGGTGAGCAGAGTAGCAAGTAGTTTGTTGCTGACACTGTCAATTTCCATTCTCCCTGAGTTTTTCTGTTTCGGCGCAGATGGGTGCTATATCCAACTCGGTTCCCCCTTGAAATTATCGTTCCCTTTGACAAATCCCCAATATAAATTCACCCAAGATAACACGGCATTATTGAGATTCCGTGATAAATATTATTTTTAATTTGAGTAAACAGTAAACAATCGTACTGATAAATACTTTTTGTACCATTCGTCACCGTTTGGGTGAATACAGCTGCCGTACAAACCTTTTTTGAGCCTTTTCACTTTGCATAGTTCCAGTGTTGCTTGATGTTGTTTACTGACCAGTGAATGCGCGCATCCGAGGACCTGATTAGTCAATGGGAACGTGAATTTGAGGGGGGAACTAATCTAATACAACACCGGCTAGCAGTGTAGAACGTCTGTAGCTACAGGTTAGTAACAACAAAAGCATGTTAGCTCACGCGCATTAATCTCAGTTGAGACTGTGGTTTTGACAGGAAACACATAAGTAATTCTAGAGTAATAGTTTTACTAAAAATACATTTTAGGCCAAAATTTTATAACAAAGCTATCACAAAACAATGTCTCAGGTATCAAACAATGGATTTCTAACCATTTTGTGTAATACGTAATGGAATGTAGCTTTAAGAGCCATTACATCCTCCAGACATGTGGTTCCTAGTACTATATTGGTGAACAATACCGACTTAGTAAATTTCTCTACAAAAGCACATTTCACACTGAACCACTCTGAATGATTTTGTTTCCATCTAAACCATTAAATGATTAAGTAATTTTATAAAATCGATGGAGTTCCCCTTTAACTGTATTTTGGAGAAAGGTGGCTTGCTTTACTGCAATTAAAACACTAGCATAACAAATATTAGTGGCTGTTTCATTTTCCACAAAAACACTTCCACATTTAAACCACTTTTAAATCCTGAAAAAGCACCTCATTGCACCAAATTGTGGAAATTATTCACTTATGTCACCTCTATGACAGTAACCTGAGTGAGCACATTACGCTTTGACAGAGGATTGGAATTTGATCATATGCCTTAATCAGTTCCGATACCAATCTTTCAGATTGGATTAGGATATCCCAAACAAAAACACAGAGCAGAATGTACCATCCATGCGGCCACACCTTGCCAAGTCTCTCCCAGACCCCACACCTCCTGTCAAGACATTGTGTTAGACAGGCTTTTCTACATTAACATGAGACAGGTCTTTTTATGTAGACGCATGGCCTGAGCATCGCACACCATCAAGCCATACACTGATGTAATGTGATTATCTCCTTTCAAAGAGAGACATCAACAGGCAGCATGGCTATATCAGCGGCATGGGGCCTCTGAGAGGCAGAGTTTGATCCACACCACGCCAGCTGATGGATGTGGTTTAATTCCTTTCCCCGCTGCCGAGCAGGCATTCACTAAATAATTCATGCACTTATAAATCCCTGTTGATTTGTTCCTTCATTAGACTGTCTGAAAAGTTGGGTTTGTTTGCCAGCCCTGGCACAAACACAACATTCCACCACTCACTAACACAAGCATCCCTGAAGTCACGCAGATGCAGCTCTCTGTCGTTAATAAGTCTTCATCTGTGGTCCCCCAGAATGACGCAAGTGACACTCTCTCCTACAATGCGTGCAGCCTGACGCAGCCAAAAGACAGCGTGTGGGTTTATGCACACTGTGCATATGGTTGATGGATACTTAGTAAACATACTGTTAAAGTGTTATCTTTCAATTAATGAGTTATTAGACCCAGGTTTGGTCTTTATGTGCCTAGGAGATAAAAAAATTGTGTCCTGATCCTAAACTTGACTAATTAAAACACAATGAGATGGTAATGAGTCCCACAGTAGCTCACAAAATCCACAGCAGGCTTCCATTTGGCATGTCCATTAAAAGCTTTGGCAGAAAGGTGAACACACTCAACAAACAGTCTTGTTTGACAGAAGCTTTTTAATGGCAAGTCACAGACAAAAGCCTGCTGCGTCAAAGGCTCCTGCCGTGATAAATTTCCTAACTGGAATTGGTCAAAGGCAAGTTCCCTGGATTGAAAACCTCATAAAAGGCTTCTGAACTTCAAAACAACTTATGCTGACCCTTCACAAAGTGCCTCGCAGGTTCACTATAATCAGCACACACATAATTTTTCTCTCTTTTTCACAAAAATACACACACACACAAAATACAAATGAACAAGTTCCCCAGGAGCTTTACCATTCTAATCGCTGACCCCTGAGTACTGGGTTAGATGATAGTAATTATCATGCCATTATGGCCAAATCAAGCTTTGCAAGCCCCTGTGTAGTGCAACGCCTGACCAAAGCATTAGTGTAGACAGAGGAGACAAGGTTAAAGTAGTCAAAAGGTTGGTGCACTTGAAGATCAATCATGCTATTATGTACATGCAGAATGGAACATAATGGAACGTGGCAGACCCAGAACAAATCGTGCTCCTAATGACACTGTTCTAAGCAGTGTCCTGTAATGACAGAAAGATATTGAAATAGATACTGTGATACTTTGTGTATTTTAAAGCTCATAGTGGACAGAATTCGCCCCCCGTGGGTGAGTGGAAAATGTTTCAGGTCATGAGCACCCCCTCGCAGCTGTATCATGTGGGATGCTAGAAGATCCCTGAAACATCTCCTCTATGGTTCCCTCAGCACGACAACACATTCCGAGCAAGCCTCTGTCCTCCCATCGAACCCCCAGGACACATTCCACCCAGACCATAACACATCCTACAGCAGGGTGAGAGGATAGCAACAGTATTTGATTGTCTGTTGATGATGACAAAAGGAGGCTCTGTTCCTCCTCTGAAAGCTCATTTGACTTTTTTCTCATTTGACCATTGGCACGCTGTCTGAGAAAATGTTTTTGCTACTAAAGTTTGAGGTAAATTATTCAGGGAGAACTGCTCTAGAACAAAAGATATGAGATTAAGTAGTGGCTTTTCAGATTCTTCATAAAACAAATGAAATCCTGACTCCAACTCAGTCAACACTCAAACAAAAGCCTCATAACAAAAAATTCCTAGTAGTTCATTAGTCTGCTATATAAAAAAGGAATCCTCCTTAGTTCGCTAGATCAAATAAGCCTCATTGCTATCAAAATGCATTGTCACAATGTGATACTGTCAAAACTAGTTCATTAAACATGGCCAAACAGCTGTCTGTCAAATATCTGGTCAGCCGAAAAGAATGCCAGTGGTCTGGATGGCCCGATGTACTCCCTGAAGATCTCTTGTGGAAACCACTTAGCATTCTGTCCGTGTCCATTAAACCTGATTGTTCTATCCTATCATGCTGCCTTCAGGGCTGGATGATGTCAGCATGCTGACTAGATCCACACCAATGTATGGTATTTCATGATGATCCTATTATTACAAGCTGCAGGCAAGGGGGTTGTCTGAGCCAATCACACACTTTTACACATATCCCCGGAGAAGCACCGGGGTCAAGACAGTAATTAAAGGGCTAAGCGCATAAATAAACCAGGATGCACCACTGCCATACAAATGACATGCAAAACAGCTGTGTCTGCTTACACAGCTAGCACTGCGCTGATGACTGCTTACTAAGACCCTCTGGAGAATTTCATAGACTCAGCTAAAACCCTGATAATAAACATAGCAGATAATAATTCTGACAGTAAATGGATCAATTATGATGAGTGTCTGTTATTATGGGATTGTTCAGTGTGCTCATGCCTGTTAAAGCCCCTTAAACTCCAAGAGCTTGTATGTGGGCCCTCACTCTCAGAAATACAAAACTTAAATTTAACAATACATTAGTTTTATAGTACTTATCGAATCATTCATGGTAGTTACAGAATATTAAGTTCTATGATTAATGACTCAATAATAAGCCTAGTTAAAGAAAGCGGTTAAAGAAACAATGAAGTGTGAATGGCACCTGATGTTGTGGGACTTGCGCTTGATCTCGTTCCAGCACAGGTTCATGTCGTGGTCGGGGTGCTTGGCGTTCTGCCCTCTGCACTCAGTGGGCACCTCCTGCCCCTCAGGTTCCACCGCCGACTGGCAGGGCACACAGTGGCATCTCGGCCACGCGGGCCGCCCTGCAGCTGCAACACATACACAAACAGAGGATTATTTAAGAGCTTCCTCACATGTAAATGTCTCTAAAACTCAAAGTGAACACAAGCAGTAATCACTGAAACAAACATAATTTACATTCCCAGATGCAAGCAATATAAACCAAACACACACATAACCATTCAGATCTAATGTCAGTAATGTTTGCAAGCAACAGGAAGTGCTGTTTGTCATAGTTAGTCCCTACTGGGAGAGGCAGGGAGGAGGGTGAGTGTGTGGTTGCCTCTGCTATTACTGTGAGAGAATCAGGGATTCCAAGCACGTCCAGAGCGCAGGGACACAGACACAATCAGCCTACCGCGGGGCCCCATGATGAGGGAGCTTTCCCCAGGTCGTGACACACTTTATGAGTGGTCGCCGCTGCTGTCAAAGCGTCCATACGCTCATCCCTTCATCCTCCATCAAATCCGTCACCCCGTCTGCAGGGTTACTTCATTTCCAGGAGTCCAAATGCTCCCCTGAGAGGCCCCATGCACTCACCCCTGCACCCCCCTCATCCCCTTGCCCAGTAACCATGGCATAATCTCAGCCCGACCTCTGTACGAAGTGATAAACACATCCAGCTCCCGCTTTCTCTGTCTGTGCGGCTGCTGACGCTTTGACAAAACAAATTGTGGTTTGGGATGTGTGTCTCTGCGAGGAACTTAGTTTTCGCAGTGATGCTGGAAGAAGGGAGCTCACCCCCTGGAGAGGAGATGAGCGACAGGCTGCCAGGGCTTCCTCACCTCCTCACGGTCTCTCGCACTAAAAGATTTCCATTCCTCACACACCTACTGTTTATTCAGTGTGATTTTTCAATCTCCTTTGAATCAGCAATCGCTCTCGCTCTCGTCCCTATCTCTCCCTCTCTCGCTCACGCTTCCTCTCAGCATAATCCACTGCCTCCCTGATGAATCCTGGCTGTTCATGGTTCATCAGATAGCTGGATAGGCCTTCAGATACTGTTAATACCCAGAAAAACAAGGCAGGGTGTATCTCGAGCGCTGAAGCTTATTAAAAATCCGGACTCAAAACAGTGAAGCACCTCTTGCAGGTTTCATCTCACCATGCTATTATGACTCGGCGCTCACACCATCACAATTCAGTGATTTGCGGGGTTTGATGAAAATTGTGCTGAATCGACTCAAAGAAAAACAACAACAACAACAAGAGAGGCGGAAATGAGCCTCTGGCAAGGGCTTTGAGGAAGGCAGTTTTCCAGCAACAAGATCAGAGTGCCAGAACTCTGCACCACTTTTTCCTGCCCAGACAGTGCAACCAATGGCATGGCAACAGCCAAAGCATGCCACCCACACCACACACAGATATCTCAGATATAATCCTGCTCATTTCAGATCCCACACATCATGAATCTCAAATGCAGACTACCTAGTGGCCACTACTGAGGTGGTCTTCTCCAATAGAGGCTGTTTGAAAATTACAAAAAAAAGTCTCATTTTTTTCCTTGTATGATTTTTAACTACATAATGTACAATGAAAGGAAACAAGTATTTAGACAGTTTTTGTCATTTAATATACTTTCAGTGTATATAGATGTATGCAAAGTTTTTTCTTGACCAAATTACAAGTGAATAAACCTCAACATCTACAGCGAAAATGTGTAAAAATAACATCTGTCTGCAAATGTTAATGCACAATTACTTTATATTTGATTAGCTTAAAAAAATAAAACTGTGGCATGTGCAAAAATTTAGATACTCTACTAAGTCAGTACGTAACACCTCATCTGGCATATATCACAGCTTGGAAACGGTTTTGTAACCAGTTAGGAGCTTTCTATTCTTGTTGTTGGACTTTTCACCCACTTTTCTTTGCAGAATGCTCCTAGATTTTTAGTCTATTGGGCTGCCTCACATTTATAGCATACTGAAGATCTACCCACAGATAGTTCACAGTGGATTGTGAGGTGTCTTTTGGATCACAGCCTCTTTTTAGTTTCAGTTCCTTGACTGATTGTGTCCCATTTGCTTTTAGAATTTGATGATATTAAGTGAAATTCATTCTTCCATCTACCTGTGCGAAACATTTCCCTAACCAAGGTATCTATTTACTTTTCCAGCATTAATACACAGAACTTGGTTTATTTAAATTTTTCACATTTAAATATATTTTTATTGAATACTCAATACATTTTCCCCACTAGCTTTGTTTTTAAAACATATCTTTATGTTTTTGAATACATGCTTTTTTGTACATATCTATAAGTACAAAGTCACAAGACATTGCGTGTGTAAATTTGAAGTGGATCTATGCACCGGAAATATATTAAATAACAAAAACTAAAGTGTCTGAATACGTGTTTCCTGTATACACTCATGCAAGTAAATAACGATGATGATGATAATAATAATACGAAAAAAATAATTATTAATATTGTAAAACTACTACTACTACTACTAATAATAATAATAATAATAATAGTAATCATTAGTAGTAGTAGTAGTATGAATACACATGTCTTTAGTAAATGTTTTAAACCAAGTAAATTAATGTTAGAATTATATTGGACTGCCAATGTGATATTGCTGGCATTCTTGCTGAATGGAAGTTATTGTGAGCAAAGTGATGTCAAAATGAGCAATTAAATCTGTGTTCTCAGTGGATTTGTGGTAGATTTTATTAATTTCTTAATTTTGATATGCTGTATTTACCACTGGGCGGCACGGTGGCGCAGTGGGTAGCGCTGTCGCCTCACAGCAAGAATGGCTTGGGTTCGATTCCCGGCCGGGCGACCGGGGTTGTTTCTGTGTGGAGTTTGCATGTTCTCCCCGTGTCTGCGTGGGTTTCCTCCCACAGTCCAAAAAACATGCAGTCAGGCCAATTGGACATGCTGAATTGAGTGTGAGTGTGTGTGTGATTGTGCATGTCTGTCTGTCTGCCCTGTAATGGACTGGCGACCTGTCCCGGGTGTATCCTGCCTTCCGCCCAATGACAGCTGGGATAGGCACCCCACCGCGACCCAGAAGGATAAGCGGTTTAGATGATGTATGTATGTATGTAATCTGCTACAAGCATGCCTGCACAATGCACAGCGTTCATGTTGTGTCAAGATTTTGTCTGAATAGTTCTTCTTGTATGCAGCACTTTATTTTTGCTTTTGACACTGTAAGCATCTGCCTAAACTGTTTTAATTACTTAAGTTGGGTTACCAGCAACAGTGTCTGATAGGCAAAGTAAATCTACCTGTAAGATGTAAATATTTAGCTGCAGAAAAACAATAAAATAAAGATTTGCGGACCAGATTTAAGCATAAACTGTAAATATGTGATCAGCCAGAAGAAGCTGATAGTTTAAGACCCCTGCCCTACACCAAGGCTTGAATTTGGCTGGGCATTAAGCGTGTAAATGTCTGACCTTTTGATTAAATTATAATTCTTTAATTACAAAACAATTTAGTGCATCATGACACACTTCAGCACATATCTAATTTTACCATGATTTTTGTAAAATTCTGATTTATTTTTAAAATGTACTTTGAATATAAAAATATAGCTAGAGGTCTAAACTGTCTATATTGTGCTGAAATATTCTATTTCTCCCGATGCTCTATCAATTGCCTTGTGTACAAACCACTGGCAACATTCAAAACTGAGCATCTTATCACAGTAAAGTGAGGCTTACATATACACAATAACAGTATTAATTACTGAATCTTGATCTCAGAATAAAACACACCTTTTATTCGTATTTAAATTGATGCAGTTGAATTGCTACCTTCTATCTATACTGGGCATGACACTAACTATACAGGCAGACCAAAGCTAGTCAGATACTTTGAATATCCAGTTAGGCAGCATTGGAAAAGATTAGGTAAATGAAATGTGAGGTCTTTGAAATCTTCCCTCAGTACAAAACCTTCATATAATATTCACAGGACATTTCCTTTCAACTGATTTGCCTTAGTTCTGTCTGAATAAAGAGAGGAGAGACAATTCATACAAGGGCACTGGGACGAGAGCAATCAATCAAAAACTTAAATTATATATTTGGCTCATGTCAGGCCAGAGACAACTGTTAAAAAAATCACCATCTTCAAAGATTTCAACTCTTGTCATATTTCTGCCTTCTACACACTGACCACAGAGCAGCCAGACAGCTTTTAAGTATTTAGCCTAGCTGTCAGAATCTCACCTCAGAGTTTTCATCACACTACGATAAAACACGCTGCTCTGAACAGACTCGTGACAGTAGACAGCTCCCACTGGCTTTGCAGATAAAATATCAGGTGATCAAAGTTCTACACGGAGACGGACAGAATGTGTAACCTTTAGTAACCTGAGAGCACCCTGAAGATAATCTTGTTACAACAACAAGAGTCTCAGGCTCCTGAGAAAAATGCATTCTATAATCTCTCAGTGAATCCACATAGCACGGAAAGTCCTTACCTTGGTGTGGAGACCACACAAGAAACTCTTCCAGTGTGCCCCCACCTCAAGCTGACCAAAGCTTTTCACTCCTTATATAGACAGACCTCTTCCTTGATCTCCTCTGAAATGGTGAGTAAGCCTGATTTACAGTGTCTGGAGGTTTTGCTTCGAGGGCAGTGCTGAAATACTGAGAGTTTCATTACAAAGATACCATTGTCCCTTTTATTCCATATCACACCACCCTGGCCCATCCACCTACCAGGCCAGAAATGCGATGCACACAACTCAGCAGGCAGCCACTCGCCGCCAGCCCACCCTGAGTCTGACTGCAGAGAGCCTTGCAGCGCACTGCCTGCCTCTGGCCACAGCACAGTTACCCTGCTGAGTTGGATAAGCACTACTCCACATTTCAAGGGCTTCCCCCCCAATAATCTACTGGATAAAACAAAACAGGGAGATAAAACCACAGGCCTAGGTTAAACCTGGGATGCCAAAGCAATAAAACTTTAAGTGAAACCTTGTACCAAAGGAATTGAAAACAGTTATTTATTTTGTAAAAAAATATATTTGTGCTGAATACGCTCAATAATGTGACGGAGAAACCGCATTCACAAAAAAAAATAAAAAAGCAGGGACACTGCAGCGTTAACCCTTTAAACTGAGGCTTCATACTTCTCATTCGGTAATAAGTTTGGCAGCTACTTGAAGGAGTAATAGCGTACACCTACTTGAAACATATGTCAGTTATGTAGTTTTGAGAGGAAATGAAGTATGGGTTTATTTATCAGTTCTTGCAGTTTAAGGGGTTAAAGTATTAAGCTAACAAGTGAGGTCAAGAGCAGGTTTGAGCTAAACTCATGGACAACAGGCAGTCTAGGAGGCAAAACCTCCAGCATGGAAGGTTGTCTGAAGATGACAATCAGTGAGATCCAGGAAGACCACTGCCCATGTATGAAGGTGGCTGGCCTAATAACTTTTACAGCTCTGAATTTCTACACTACAGCTCTTCCAAATAAAGCAATGCATCACGAAGAAGAAAAAAACTCTGGCTTCTTCTGACACACTAACAGAAGCCCACAGGATGAAAGCTGTCCACACAGCCACATCCAGCAAATCAGCTGACACCAGGGCAACATCTTGCAGCCTTCACCTCGTTTACAAAGCGAGCAGGATGAGCATGCACATTTCTGAGACGAAGCTCAAACAGCCCCAAGACCCGGCTCTCTTTAATTCAAAGGAGTGCCCAAACAGCTTGCCCTCCACAGACATGCCATTATCACTTCAATGACAAGCCATAATTTTCTGTACACAAACATGCCACACATATACTTATTTATGGAGGCAGTGCCCTTGTTTTCCACCCTGAAGAGAGGCATTTGAAATTAGACCCCCATTAGTACTGGTAGTCATTACGTCTGACTCAGGTTACCTCAGTGCAATGATGGCCCATTATTGCAGCACTCGCCTGGTTGCTGCTCCCATCCCGCGCATCAGATGAACAACTGCCCATGCATTATTCATATCTGTTAGCTGAGTGGGGCGTGAGTGCCGCCAGGCCAGCAGCAGAACCTTAGCAGGCTGCTCAGTGGAAAGATGGGAAAAAAGACCTATACTCTCTGGGACACACTCTAGAGAGGCAACCCCTGCCTAAAAACTATGGAAGGGGTAAAGGCTTAATTGCCTGAGTTTCATATAAAGTCTTACAAGCTAAAAGGTATCCATAAAAACCCCTCTCACATGACTAACTCTTAGAGAGAGGCACATGAGGAAAATGAGCGGAAGAAATGAAAGCCTCTGGTTTATCTTCATACGTCAGATATTTATACATATGTTTTGGCTATGGGAAACCATGTTAGCCTTCCATGTTCTGAATTCCAACCAACACCTCAGTTTCAAAAAGACATGCAAGGATGGAAAACAGTTCTGCACTTGACAGAAATGCAATTAAATCAAGAGTACAGCATATACTTGATGAAAGATGACAATCCACATTAAGAGCTATCCAAAGTAATCCATCTGCACATTTCGTAGTACCTCACACAAAGTGTGGGTGTGCTATGTGACACTAACTGAATTTGCAATGAATTTGCAATGAATGTCAGGAGAAGATAATGAATGATTATTTAGTGTGACATGAGTGACAGTAATCACTCTCAGGTCTCTGTAACTATTTGATGTCTGTATCTGTGCTGTCTCTCTACAGCAAACCAGCACTGTTGGTGCAATTGCTTTCAGCTGCTTGCACAATCTGATTATGATTTGAAGACTGATAAGGTCATGTACAGTGCCCTCCACAAATATTGACATTCATGGTAATAATGCAAAATGAGCTGTAAAAAATATTCTTAATTACTTAATGTTTTTGATCTTTCATTCAAAATATTGGCAAAAATCTAATCTTTATTTAAGGTATAATGATAAAAAGAAAAAAAGTCATCATGAAATTAATTTTTTGTTAAATCTATGTGTTTTACAATTTTTCGCACCCCTATAAATTCTTAGGAGTGAAATCTAACTGAAGTATATTCCCATTCATATTTTATGTTTTTAAGTTCACCTGAGCTATTAAGAACCTTTACATGTTCAGCCATGACTTACTGATTCACTGGGGAATATATATGAGATGAGGCACAGGCCAAATTCCCTCAGTCATCCATCACTATGAGAAAATCAGACAATATAGCAACAATGTACGTCCAAAGCTTGATATGCTGCACAAATCAAGAAATGGCTGCGCGAAAACAGGTGCCTATTTCCACTATCAGGGCAACAATTAAGAAGCTTGAAACAATTGGAGATGTTAAGAATTGGCCAGGAAGAGGGGGTTTGTCTATACTGACCCCATGCACGGTGAGGAGGATGGTTCGTGCGGACAAAGAACGAGAATCACAGACGGGGAACTGCAGACATTAGTTAGGTCTTGGGTCACCATGTCTCCCAAACCACAATCAAACATGACTGGAACTTTCAGTGGGACCATGTTCTATGGTCAGATCAAACCAAAATAGAGGTTTTTGGCAACAAACACCAGAGGTAAGTCTGGCATGGACACAAAGATAGTCATGCAGAAAAGCACCCATCCTCAATGTGAAGCATTTTGGTGGATCTGGGATGCAACCCCATAAAAAACCTGTGGGATGAGCCAAAGACAAAGTCCACAGTGTGGAGCTTGGAATCTGAAGGATCTGGAGAGATTCTGTATAGAGAAATGGTCTCAGATCCTTTGCCATGTGTTCTCTGGTCTCAATAAGCATTATAGGAGGAGATGCAGAGCTTCCCTTTGCAAAGGGAGGGTGCACAAAGTATTATATGAAGGGATGCCAACAATCATTGCATGCAGAGATTTGAGAAAATACTTATTTTCTGATAATAATATTAAGATTTTTTTAATCAGTGTACTTCAAATAAAGGTTAGCTTTTTATTAATATTTTGAAAGAAAGATCAAAGGGATAAGCAACAGCAAGTTTTTCCACTGTCTGTTTTGCTCATGTTTACCAGGGGTGCCAATATTTGTGGAGGGCACTGTATATTCCAATGAAGTACATGGTTTGACTTGACAGATTTGCGCCTGAAGATGACAAATGGTATAAGTGAAAAAAGATCTTACTATAAGGTTTGGCAGTTCTGAATGCTGAGTGTTGTTGTCTATTCTTTATTTTAACATATTTATCAATTCACAGCTTATGATCAGACATCGGCTCAGACATGGTCAGTTCTTCCAAAATAATTATTCTGAATAGCAGAAGGAGATTTGCTTTGAGAGAGACAGAGAGAGAGAGAGGAAGAGAGACTTCAGTTTGACTTTCAATGAGGCTAACAAATCAGAGTAAGAGAATAACGATTTGTCAGATCACAGATTTCAGTGTAAAACGGATGGTGAAAGGTCATCACATTCTTCAGATCAAGTATATATTTGTCTAATGAACAGAGCAGTGTGGCCTTCTCTCAGCCAGCCTGCAGAGATCTGTGCTGTAGCAGTCCTCAGGGTTGGGCAAAATCCTTTGAAAAAGTAGTGATGGCTGAATACTGAATACACTGTCCCAAATGTATTCAGTAACGTATTCCATTACAGTACATAAAAAAATAACATATTCAGTATACATTTAGAATGCATTTAGAATACACAGTGATAAAGTATATGGGGAAAAAAGCACGCTGTTTGGGTAGATTTTATTTACTTTATTCATGCGCTAATACAAGAAATGAACACAAAATTCTCATTTATTTTGGCTTCATGACCTAAGTCAACAATTCGCCATAACCCAATAACATAATCTTGCAAAAGTATTTCAGTGATTTTCACTTAATGATATTGGACCACATGCACAATCAAGTACAATGCCAAAGCTAAGCTTATTGCTCAAGAATACATCCTTTACTCAGTTAAGACAGCCCTCAAAAGAGTTTACTAATGCTCAGATTAATAACTGGCTGTTCATAGTAAATGAACAGTCTATTTAGGCCTTAGACGGAACTTCAGTGTTTGTAAAGAAGCCATTGTTTGAGTTCTTCTTTTGATTAAATCTTTACATCATGTGTAATAATTTCAAAATAGTGACTTAACAAGCAGTGATAGTGCTTCTTTGAAAGATGGTATATATTTGTATATTGAGTGGGTAAGTATTTCAAAAGTATTCTCATAAAAATGTACACTGTAAATGTATCCTGAATACTGCCTTTACAAAATCTAACTTAGACTGAATACAGATACTCACTTTTGTATTTGGAATACATATTTCCAATACTTGTATTCCAATAAATCCCAACCCTGTGTGTCCCATACTCTCATGCTTACATCTTCAACCATCTCATGCTTACATCTTCAACCAGTCATTCACACTATCAGCAGCAGCAGCTAAACTACAGGTCCTTGGCTTGATGCAAGAACAAGGCGTTGAGATCCTAACATAGTCTGATGCAGCTAACCAATGAAGGTGGCAAGCAGGTTAAAGGCCAACCCCTAGAGACCAGCTGTTCTTTATTTTTCTGTATAGTTCGCTCCATCTGTAACAGACTGGTGTGGGTCTGCGTTTTCCTTTTTTTTTTAAACATGACTGAAACATCCTTGACTCCATTCACCTAAACAGGCTATTAACCATTCAGCTAAACAAGATACTCTTGCATGTTTTGTGCTGAGTTATCTGAGTGAGCACTGAGTTATCTGTGCTTGTCTGTGGCATATCAGTACAAACGGTTTGAACTCCTGTACCTTTAGAAGAATTTCAACCAGTATATCGTATGAACTGATATATCGCAAACTACTACCCTCTGGATTAGACAGT